GGGGGGCAGGAGCCGGGCGCCCCCGAGGCGGCCGCGCGCCCGCCGCGGCCCCGGCCCCGCCTCGTCTTCCACACGCAGCTGGCGCACGGCAGCCCCACCGGCCGCATCGAGGGCTTCACCAACGTSCGCGAGCTCTACGCCAAAATCGCCGAGGTCTTCGGCATCTCGCCCACCGAGGTGAGGGGCTGCCGCGAGGGGGGCCCGCTCCGCGCCGCCCCGGGGCACCCACCGTGTCCTGGCCCTGCTGCGCGTCCCCAAACRCGCCCTGAGGGCTGTCGCTCCCTGCAGAGCGTCCGGGCCGCTCRTGCCTCAGTTTCCCTCGCCGTGCGGCAGCGCCGCTGTCCGCGGTGCCAGCCCRGGGCGGCGGGGACGGGCGCTGGGGAGCGCTGCACGAGGGGGATCGCGCAGGGTCCCCAGCGCTGACGGGGCTGCCCGCGGCAGATCCTCTTCTGCACGCTCAACACGCACAAAGTGGACATGCAGAAGCTGCTCGGGGGGCAGATCGGCCTCGAGGACTTCATCTTCGCCCACGTGCGCGGCGAGACCAAGGAGGTGGAGGTGACCAAGACGGAGGACGCGCTGGGACTCACCATCACGGACAACGGCGCTGGCTACGCCTTCATCAAGGTGAGGGCCCCGGGGACGGGAGGACCAACAGCCCACCCTGCCACCGCGGCGGGTGGCAGCCCCTCGCCCACCATCCTGCTGCACAGCCTCCTTGCACCCTAACCCCAACCATGGCCCTTCGGAGAATCCTTAAGGTTGAAGGGACCTCTAGAGTCACTCGGTCCAACCCCCTGCACACGCAGGGGCACCCAGAGCACGTGGCACAGGCTGCGTCCAGGCGGGTTGGGAAGATYTCCAGGGAAGGAGACTCTTTTYCYCTTTTCCTTAAATTCTCCTTAAGGAGATTTTTGTCCTTAAGTTCCTGTGGAATTTTTRGTGCTTCAGTTTGYGGTCATTTCCTCCACTCCTATCAGTGGCCACCACTGCAAAGAGGCCRCCCCATCCTCCTCACGGCCTCCCTGGAGRTATCTACAGACCCTGCTCAGGTCCCTCCTCAGCCTCCTCTTCTCCAGGCTGGACAGGCCCAGCTCTCCCAGCCTTAAGGGCCCTTCTTGCAGYGCGGAGGAGGAAGAGGAGGAGGAAGCGCTCGCTGTGCTTTGGGGGCTTCACACCCTCTTGGGGCTGTGGGGAGACAGAAGGGCTGGGAGGAYTCGTGTCCCCTCTGTCCCCCCCTCTGCCACCTCCTTTCATCCCAAAACCCCAGCCCCGAGGGTGGGAGCTGCTCTGGATGTGCCCGACCAGCAGCTCCCAGCCCGACCAGCTTGGGGTGATGCCAGCGCAAACTGGACCGTGGGGGTGCCCATGTGCAGCACAGGGCGAGGGCTGCGCCCGTCCATCCTCCCCATGGAGATGAGACCCTATGTGACCCCCCTTCCCCGCTGTGCCCGTGTCCCCGCGGTCCCCAGCGCATCAAGGAGGGCAGCATCATCAACCGCCTCGAGACGGTGTGCGTGGGCGACAGCATCGAGGCCATCAACGACCAAACCATCGTGGGCTGCCGCCACTACGAGGTGGCGCGGATGCTGCGCGAGCTGCCCCGCGCGCAGCCCTTCACGCTCCGCCTGGTGCAGCCCAAAAAGGCCTTCGGTGAGCAGCCGTGTCACCCCGGCCCCGTGTCACCCTGGTCCCGTGTCACCCCAGGCCTGTGTCACCCTGGTCCCGTGTCACCCCTGGGTGCCACCGCTTTCACCCTGGGGCTGGGGCGCTGGGACCCTGGTGCTGAGGGTGCCCCTGGCAACGAGTGTGAACTGGTCCCTAGGACTGGGTGTCCCCGTCACCCCATTTCCTGCCACCTCTCACTGTGCCATCGCTGCACTTCTGTGCGCCTCCATCCTGCACCCCTGGGTGCCCCTTGCCCCTGCCTTTCCCCTGAGCGACCCTCTTTGGTGTCCCATCTCTTTGCACATGCGGTCCCCGTGTCCCTTGGCCCTGCTCTGGGTCCCGTTTGCTGTGACCTGGGCTCAGGGGGTGCCGCGGGGTGGGTGGGGGGCACCCAAGCTGCCCTCTCATGCCCCTGTCCCGGGCGCAGACATGATCGGGCAGAGGACACGGAGCGGCAAGGCCGAGGGCCGCGTGGCCAGCGGGAAGGAGACGCTGCGGCTGCGGGCGACGGGCGCCGCGACCTTTGAGGAGGGGGTAAGGGAGCCGGYGCCGCCCGCCCCGCGCCCCCCAGGGCCCTGTATTGGGGCGGGGGGAGACGCAGCCCCCTGGCCCATCCCTGTGCCCGTCACGGGGTGCGGAGCGTCTCCCGAGGGTGCCCGGGCAGAGCCTGGTGCCCGGCCGGGTTCTCCCCCGGCGCCCTGGGTGCCGCGCGGGGCCGACGGTGCCTCTTGCTGCAGCCGAGCGCCACGGAGGAGGTGGCCGCCCGCCGCGTGGACGACCTGCTCGAGAGCTACATGGGCATCCGTGACGGCGAGCTGGGTGAGCACGGGGGCGCCCGCGGGCGCCCGTGGGCACCCGCCAAGCACGGGCGCCCACTGAGCGCCGCTCTGCCCGCAGCCGCCAGCATGGTGGAGACGGCGAGGGGCGCGGGCAGCGCCGCCGCACTGGCGTCCGCGCTGGCCGCGCTGCTGGGCGACTTCGCCTTCCCCGAGGAGTTCGTGGCGCAGCTCTGGGCGGCCGTGGGGCACCACGAGTAGCTGCGGCGGCCGCGGTACTGCCGTCCCCTCCTTGTCCTTGGGGACTCCGCAGCGCTGCTGTCCCCTCCTTGTCCTCGGGGACCCCGCGGCGCCGGGCGGGCTCCTCGCGCCCGCGCKTGGCTGGCACCGGGCCGGCCCCGCGCGTCACCCCAATAAAGCCAGYGCCCCCCGGCCGTCCCGCCACAGAGGAGCGCACACGGCGGCAGCACAAGCGGCTTTTTATTGTGGGGAGCACCCGGAGGGCAGCAGGGAGCAGCTCGGGGACACCCACCGGCCCCCCCAGTGCCAGCAGGGCCTGGCACTCCCCATGCCCCCCATCCCCCTGACCACCCCCGAGGTGGGGGACAGCGAAGGGCACAGCCCTGGGTGCACCCCTAGTTCATCCATTCCCCCCCCCTTTGGCACTGCAGTCCCGGGCACCGGGGTGATGCCACCCCCGGGGGGCAGCGACACCCAGTTCTGCCCACACTGGAGGGACTCCCCTTTCGCCCAGGCACGTCCCACGTGCCTTGTCCCGGGAGCCACCCCGGCGGGGCCCCGGCRTCCGGGCGCTACTGCAGCACCGACTCCTGCGTGAGCTTGCGGCGCAGCGCGGGGTTGAGCGCGGGGTAGAGGGACACGATGGAGGGGCGCGCGCGCACGCTGGGGTACACGCGCCGCAGCACGGCCCGCCGGAACAGGATGTACACCCAGGGGTCCAGGATCTGGTTCCAGGTGACCATGCGGATGTAGATGAGCAGCAGCTGCTGCGTCTCGGCGGGCAGCGCCGCGGGCCGCGCGGGCGCCCGCAGCTGCTGCAGCACCGTCTGGATGATGAAGATCTGTGGGCAGCGGGGACGGGCGTCAGCGGCGCCCCGGCGGGCACCGTGGCCGGGGCACCCTGGAGATGGGAGCCTGGTGTCCAGGCTGGGGTCGGGTTGGGTGCCCCTAGATGTCCCCAAACCTCCCCGCCCCACATCTTAGCGGGTGCRTTGGGGTGTCCCTTGGGGGCGGCGCGGGGGGCCTCACCAGGAGCGGCATCCAGCAGATGGTGGCGATGATCATGATGCCCACGAGCTGCACCATCATCTCCACCTCGCTGTCGCGGCGCCGCTGCGCCGCGTCGCGGCCGTGGCACACGCGGCAGAGCGTCACCACGCTCACCGTGTTGCACGCGAAGGAGAGCAGCACGGAGCCGACGCCGAGCAGGGCGAAGAGCAGGCAGAAGGCGGCGTCGCCCGCRTCGGGCAGCAGCGTGAGGAAGCACCAGGAGCCCGGGAACTGGAGCGTGTAGCGGCCCAGCCCCAGCACGGGCAGCAGCCCCAGCAGGCAGCAGAAGGCCCACACGGCGCCCACGATGGCCCACGCGCGGCGCCGCGACACGCTGCTGGAGCGCGAGAAGGGCCGGTTGATGCCCACGAACCTCTCGCCGGCCATGGTGGCCCCCAGCAGCAGCGGGCACTGCCCGAAGAACACCATGGAGAAGCCGAGGAAGTTGCAGAGGTGGCAGCCGGCGTCCACGGCGGCCCAGTCGAACTTGGTGAAGTGGTAGGGGATGATGACGGAGGCCGTCACCAGCAGCCCCATGAAGTCCGTGACCACGAGGCCGCAGAGGAAGACGAGGAAGGAGGAGCGCGCCCGGCTGGAGAGCTGGCGCGAGGAGCTCCGCAGCACGCACAGCGCRAAGAGGTTGGAGCAGAGGCCGATGAGGCCGAAGGCCGTGGAGAACCAGGGCGAGGCGATGGCCCTGGGCCCCGTCCCGTTGAGGCCGGCGCTGCYGTTGAAGGCGCCGAAGCAGGAGCCCCAGGCGGCCGCCCCGCTCCCGTTGAGGGGCCCCGCGGCCCCCAGCCCCATGGCGGGCCCCGCAGCCCCTTCAGGCGCCCTCCGGGCTCCGCTCCATGGCGGGTCCTGCCCACGGCCCCGCTGCCTGGCACGTGTCCCCCTGGGCCTGYTGGAGAGGGGACAGGGTCAGCACTGCCCCCCATGGACACGTCCTGGCCCCCCAGCCTGCCCTGAGGGGCATCCCTTCCTCCATCCCTGTCTCCATCCTGGTCTCCCTCCCTGTCTCCATCCCTTTTTCCATCCCTTCCTCCATCCCTTCTTACATCCCTGTCTCCATCCCTTTTTCCATCCCTTCCTCCATCCCTTCTTCCATCCCTGTCTCCATCCCTTTTTCCATCCCTTCCTCCATCCCTTCTTCCATCCCTGTCTCCATCCCTCTCTCCATCCCTTCCTCCATCCCCATCTCCATCCCCTCCTCCATCCCTGTCTCCATCCCTCTGTCCCTGTCTCCCTTCCCTCCTCCATCCCTTCCTCCATCCCTGTCTCCGTCCCCATCTCCATCCCTGTCCCCATCCCCTGCTCCCTCCCTGCGCTCTGTCCCGGCGTGGTGCCGCGCTCTCCCGGTGACACGCCCGCGGTACCCGGCCCACGGCTGCAGCTGGCCGGGATTAAGCGTCCCGGGCGCGGAGCCGCCGCCACGAGGCCCTAATCCCGCCCTAATCCCGCCCTGGCCGCTGCCTCGAGAGGCGCCCGGGGGCAGCTCTGCTCCRAGCCCGGCCTGTGCCGGGGGGGGCAGCCCTGGCACCGCCGGGACCCCCGGGAAAGGCAGGAAGTGCCGTCTTTGGGACGCCGTGGGGACAGGGGGGGACCCATCAGCCTGGCGTCACCCAGCCCCTCCTGGCACCCCGTTCTCCAGCGCGTGCCCGTCCCTGCAGTGCTGGGGGACACAGGCCAGCGCCCGCTGTCCCTTCTGCAGYGGGTGCAACCAGGACACCCTGTGGGGCGGGGGGGCCCAGCACCCACAGCAGCTCCCCCAGTCCCGCCTGTTTCTCCAGGACACCCCGTGTCCCTGCACAGGTCCCACCGCAACTGCCCGGGACAACCCCAGGGTGTTGCCCCCGGCCGCGTCCCCGTCCCCGCACAACCCCAAGCCCCGGTGGGGGGTTAGAGCCGCAGCTGCTGGTGCCTCCAGCTCCCCTCGGCCTCCGGCCCCAGGCCATTCCTGACAATGTCCCGGGGCCGGGTGGCCACCGCCTTGGTGGCCCTGTGCAGCGCGGCCAGCGGCCCTGGCGCTCGTCAGCGCCCGGAGCTTCTCCCAGCGCTGGGATGGGGCCAGGGATTGCAAAAGCCCGGCCTGGCGCCACGGCCGGGCTCGAGCGAGCGCGGAGCAAGACGAGAGCGGGATGTGAGTGGGAAGCGTCCCAGGGAGGGCGCTGGGATGAGAGGAAAGCGGGCAAGGAGGGCGCCGGGAATGCACCAGGACGGAGTCCAGAGCGTGCTGGAGCAGCCGCGAGCGGACCGGGAGCGGACCGGGAATGTGGGGAAGGGGCCGCCAGGCGCCATCGGGGCAGCAGCCGGGTGCTGTGGCACCAACCCGGCTCGAGCCCCCCGGAGGCGCTGGGCGTCCCCCTGAGGATCCCAGTGTCCCCCGGCCACCCCCGCGCCAGGGTGYGACTGGATGTTGAGCGGGCTGAGGAGCAGGCAGGGGACAGAGCCGGGGGACAGGGAAGTGGCAGGGGACAGAGCCAGGGGCTGAGCCAGGGGCTGAGGTGACAGCAGGGACAGAGCCAGGGGCCAAGGTGGCAGCAGGGGACAGAGCCAGGCCCGCACGTTCCCGCTGCACCCCGAGCCTGCCGGGCTCAAGGCTGCCGGGTGCCCCCGAGCGGCTCTGGGTTCGGGCGTAGGACCCAGCCAGGGGACACGGGCAGCCCCAGGAGCCCCTGGAAACCCCAGAGCCCCCCCGGACAGGGTGCCAATCACCCCCCTTCCCGCAGGGAGCCCGGAGCGCCCGGCCGACCACGCTGAGGAATTCGCTGTTTTTCTTGGAGATGCCGGGAGCCGCTCCGGCCTGGGAAAGCGCCGGCCACGCACCTTGTCACGGCGCCAGCCGGCCCTGCGTCCCCACGGCCACCGGAGTCGCCGCCGCCGCGTCCGCACCCGCAGGGTCTGCCCGGGCGCCTCCCGGCTCCGCAGCGATCCGGTCCCTCCAGCCAGCCGGATGCTCCGAGGCTCCCGGTGTGGGGGCAGCGCAGCACTTAGAGCAAATCAAATATTAAAGAAATATCAAGAGTCGCATCAAATATTAAGCAGGGCACACTCAGAGATGCGTGGCATGGAACGCAGCCACTTATGCRAAGAAACTCATCCCCATGCGGCGCTGCCCTGGCAGGGGGATGCAGCAGCCGGAGCCTGCGGAAGGGGTGCCCTGAGCCCCCGGGATGGGCCCAAGGTGACGTCCCCCACACGCACGGGACAGGACCCGGGTTGGGGCACCCAAGTGCAGCCAGAGCCGCCTCCRGGGAGACCCCCGAGGGGTGGAAATGGGGGGACGTCGCTGCGCGCCCGGAGGAGGCGGCAGCTCCCGGGGCCGCAGGAAGCGCCTGCACCCGCTGCTCCCTGGCAGCGCATCCCGCGCTGCCCCCGCTGGAAGCCGCTTCCTGCCCTCGCCACTTCCGAGGCTGGAAAGGAAAAGGCCGATGGGGAGGACGCGCGGCCGCGCACGCTCCGGCCGCCCGCGCTGAAGCTGCCCGGCTCCTTATCAGCCCGGCTCCTGTTCCGGAGCTGCCACTTCCCGGTGGGATAGCGCTGCGTGGGAAGAGGGCAGCCTCCTCCCTGTGTATCCCCATCCCGCTCTCCCACTCGATGTCCCACTGGGACACGCGGCCTGGCGCAGCCACTCCATGCTCTGCACAGCAGATGGGCTCAAGGACGACGGCTCCGGCGGGAAGAGCAGCGGCCACGTCAATGGGACGGGGACGTGGCGGGGCCCGAGGGGCTCGGCACACGGAAGGACCTGCTGCTGGGGTGGCTGACATGGCCTGGAGGGGGGACATCCACGGGACAGCGGGGAAAAGGGACAGCTGTGGTGACGGGCCACCAGGGACCCTCTGKGCTGGCTGCCCGGTCTGTCCCTGCCGTGCGCTGGCACCACAGTCCCCAGCCTCCCAGGGCCTGGGGCACCTTCCCTGTCTCATCTTGCCCCCGGGTCCCAGGAGCAGAGACGCAGAGGGTGCCCTGTGTGAACGCGGGAGGTTGGGGGACACTCGGGGCCACCCTGGGGTGCCACGGTCAGTCTCGAGGACAGCCCCGTCCCCCGGTGCCTTGGCTGCCGCCTGGGCTGGTGCCGCAGATGGAGCATCAGAGCAGCCCCCGCTGCGGAGCCGCCGCCGGCCGCCCACTCACCCGACCGAAATAGCCCCTTTCCCAGCCCTTCCCAGCCTTTCCCAGCCTTTCCCAGCTCTTCCCAGCAGCAGCTCTTGGGCAGGGACAAYGTTTGCCTGGGGGTGGATGGGGGCTGCTGGGGGAATGTGCCGRCAGGACTGGGATAAAGGCTGGGATAGTGGGATAAATCCTGGCACAAGTGAAAAGAAAGTTGTGGTTCCTGGGAGGGCTCTGAGCACCTCCCGCTTGAGACCCGCAGCTCGAGCCTGGCCACGGCCCCCCCCGAAACGACGGCGTGAAGTGGGGGGCAGCTCAGTCCCRCTCCCAGCTCTGTGCCGGGGGGCTCCCACATGGGGTCCCTGCCCCCCATGTCCCAGCTGCGGGGTGTCCTGTGCGAGCCAGGCGGGAGCGAGG